CTTTTACACACGGGTTGCCAACCCTAACCCAGTTTTACAAACTTTTCTGCAGCAATCACTTAAGCGAACCAATTGCTCATTTTTGCCAAAAAAAAAAAAAAGGAAGTAAATGTCAGTTTTCAACAAAGAAGTTGTAAAAAGCAGTCATGTGACCAAAGAATCATAAATACCAGTCAGTTGCAGTAATGTGACTGCAGAGAGGAACAAGCATAAGAACTTTGGAAATGGGTCATAAGTACTCCAGGAGAAATCCATCATACCTTTGAATAGTTGCTAAGCAACAGGTCATAAATCAAAGACTACCTGTACACATTAATCTGGATTTAAATTGGATTTAACTTTGAGTCATTATCTGTAAGATTGCACTGTGGGCTGCTTCTTTATGAATATTGATCCAGTTTTAAACGAGTGAATGATGCTAAAAATAATCTTTAATTATATTCATTAATTCATTTAATTACTAGGATATAGTTTTCTTCAATCCGAATCAATGGAAGCAGTAGCCAAAAGACAAGAATTGATTCAGAAACAAATTATTGCCAGGTAAAATGAACTAAATCACAGTTATTAGAATTTACATGCTAAGTCATAATTTATAGTTTATCACCTAGTTTGTGGTTTATATGAATGTTTGCACCAGCAGTTTACTCAATTAACCCTGATTAAACAAATCATTGTTAGAATGTCAGATGGCTTATAGATCAATTAGTTACTGTCATTCAAACTGTGGTTATATGGATGGTATTAGTATTTAAATTACAGGCAATCTTTCTATATTTTCATCTTTTCCCATTGGCTACTAGTATAAATCTATTTCTTGCAGCATTATATAGATTTTGTTGTTATAATTATTCTGGCAAGGATCTCAGGAGGCACCAGCATCTAGCATTTTGTCTGGACTCATAAACTAGCCTGGATTCTAGAACTAGAGGCTAAACAGGGAAGTCTAAAAAATCTTTCTGTAATCTGCTTCCATATTGTTTCTGGAAAACTTCATGGATGAATCCATATAGTCATTAGGAATTTTGCTGTATTCAAGGATGTGTGTGCACAGTGTATGTGTATATAAATGATGAAGTGTGGGTGATCTTGGCCCTTGCCTACTTCTACTAACTGAGTACCCTCTGAGGTTATGAGTGGGTAATGTAATCCTTTGATTGAAAAAGATTCAACACTTAATCTCCACCAATTGTAGGTCATCAAGGACTCAAATGAGTTTTTAAAAATTTAAAATAGAAGATGCCATGAAATATTGGGGGTAGGTAGATGGGATTTTGCTTTTTAATTCATGTGCTGCTCTACAATGCCTAATGTTCCAAACATTATATGTTGTGTTGGAAGAAATGTCCATCTGGGTTCAGCTCTAAATGGGGAAAAAGACACTGGAAACATGGAGGCTGGCTTGGAAAAACGGTTTAATGGTGGACAGGATCACATGGCTTGAAGTCCTGAACAGAAAAGGGGGATCACATGCTTCCAGATGTTGGGGGAAGAAGAAAGGAGAGAAAAAAGGGGCTTGCTGAGAGTTCCTGGATTTTTATACTCTCTGTTCGGCCCCACCTCTCTGTTTCCTGTTCCTGTGTAAGAAATGTATTCTGATTGGTTGTCATACTCCCAGGGGTGGGGTTGGGGGGGTGTCTTAGCTAACTTTCTGGTTGTGTGTCTTTTTGAGTCCCAAGCTTGGTTGAGATACCAGATGCCATGTGGTGAGTTTCTGTAGAAGGCTAATCCTACTTTTATTATGTAGAGTAGACTAGCTCGGGCCCTTAATGGCCCATTAACAAAAGTTGTGGGCTATTAAGAGTGAGTCTCTTTCCTGCCTAAAAACATGTTTCTCCATTTCTTATTCAGGGAAATATAATATTCTGCCTTTTCAATATTTCCTAGGCGATGTCACTCTTCTAGGAGAGGGGTGGGTGCTAATTTCCTACAGTTGTAAACTATTGGTAGATAAAGATTGAATCTCCAGTTAGGGTGTCATGCTTATGAACCTTACTTAGGATGGAAGTGAGTGCCATGTTTCAGCAAAAAGAACTCGAAAAAGCTCAACGGAAAAGTCTTGTAAAATCCAGGGGCTTTTCCCCTTACCCTGATGTCCCGCCTTGCTCTGCTGGTTTTCAAGAAAAGCACTACATTCCTGAAGGCCACCTCTCCAATGGCCTGTATATCCATCAGACTGCCCTCAATGAACTTCAGAGGAATGCTATGTTCCTGGGCACAAGCTCCTATCCACCTCTCGCCATGCTTCAAAGAGAACGGGTCCGTCGGCCAAGCAGAAGAGCTGGGATTCGCAAAGGTTCTCGTTACCAGTTCGATCATGGAAAGAACCCAACGGAGGATGGGGAAGCGAATCTGGCTTCAGGGACTCTCGGCGAAGAAAACGAGGACAAAAAAGAAACCAAAGGGGAAATGCCACTCAAGCCTGCAGAAGCAGAACACGAAGTCCAGGCAGAGCCATCAGCAGCTGTCATCAAAAATGAGAAGGAACGTGAAGGTGGCCTGAGAAAGAACTTGTGTAACCGCAAAATGCCCCGTGAAGCAACCGACGGCCACAATGGAAACGAGAAAGAGCCTCACACTTCTTGCTTAGTCTTTAATGAAAAGCATGCAGAGCCATCAAAAATCACATTCTCTGCTCTGACAAGTGGCTTCTCCACGCTCAATCAACCTCCATTATCTTTCGGTAAGTAATAAGACGTGCATTCAGGCTATCATGGCCTTCCAGATATTGCTAGAGTCCAAGGGTGTCAAACTCAAGGCCCGCAGGCCTCAGGCAGTCCGCCGGGTGCTTAAATCTAGCCCACGGGTCCAGCCTGGAAATAGGAAAGGACTGGCCCGCGGTGCCTCTAGCAGTAAAAATGGGCTACGGGGGAGGGGGGACGACACGCATGCCCCTCCTCATCCCATTTTTGACTGGCAAATTGCTGCAGGAGACCGTCCAGGCTGAAAATGGGATGGCGGGAGCTCGCAAGATTTCCCGTGCCCCGTTTTGGCCAGCAGAGTGCTGCGGGAGGCGTCTGTCCCATCTGACCCCTACCCTCCAACCAGCCCACGGAGGAGAACTACAATGCTGATCTGGCCCTCGAAGAAATCCTTTAATACTCCTGTGCTAGACTATGAGCCAGACAGTCCCAGGTGGAAGGAAGCTAGAAAGTGTTGAAAGCATCACCTGGAGAACCACAGATTTTCCATGTCTTCAATATAACTTTGGAAACCCAAGCTATAGATTTCATGGAAACTTTGTGTGGTGATCATAAATGAACACATTCTGCTTGCAAAGAACCCTTAGGACTGCAACACAGAGAAAAAAGTATTGGAGAGGACCAGGTTTAAAACCCTTTTCCAGCGCAAATCAAATTTTCACCGCGATCCAGCTTCATGCAGGGAAGCAATATTAGGATTTTACAGTACTATATAAAAAGGGGTGCCCAACCCAGGTCTTTGGACTGCATGTGCTATTTTTTTTTTACTACCCGTTCTGTGGGCTTGGCTTGGTGTGGCGTGGCTTGGTGGAGGTCATATGATTGGGTGGGCATTGCTATATAATCATGTAACTGGGGAATCAAAAGACAGAAACTCACAATGTCCGGCTGGAGCAGGGTAGGACTAGATGACCTCCAGGTCCCTTCCAGCCCTGGATTATCCTCTGAAGGTGCTTTTAGTGCCAGGTTTGTAGTCCTTCCTTCCTCTCCTGTTTTCCTCCCTCCCTCCCTTTCTTTTTCTTTCTCTTCCTTTCTCCCTCCTTCCTTCCTTCCTTCCTTCCTTCCTTCCTTTCTTTCTTTCTTTCTTTC